TCGTAAAGAGGTTTGATTCTCGATATTGACACATCCCTAATGTTCTGCTTCAGTCGTCGATCAGAGGACATGACAATAGCGTCCGCTCCCAGATAGCCAGCGAAAATGCCTCCCATTACGCTATACGTAATCGGACCCAATGTGGACTCAGTCACACCAGAGTCCGTCCGGAGGCGATATACAGTGAAGCCGCCGGCTCCCCAAGTGAAAGTAGATTGGTTCGTGCAGTGAATGCCGGCAAGGGGAGTTGTTGTTCCTATCCCCAGGAGTCCAGAACTCTTTAATGTCATCTGAGTTGAACTACCGGTGCCAAATCTGTGGTCGTTGGCAGTGTTATTGCCTATCCATGTGGCATTCGTAGAGGTACCGTAGGATCCGTTATTGACCTCTATTTGAAATTCAACTGGAGTTGCGTTAGAGCCCAGAAAACGACACATTCGAGTGTATGTTCCATCGAGGTATGCTGATCCACTTCCTTTAATCGCAAAATATTCCGTTGTTGCCGTGGTATTGATACCAAACTCTGTTAAAGGTCCTACTGTTGTAATAGCTGTTTGATTGCCGTACGTTAAGAAGCCAGCAAGTGAATTGGCTGTAATAGTACCAGAAGCGGTAAGATTGGTAATTCCCGATATCGCTCCGGTCGATCCGTTGATCCTCATCCGAGCGACGTTATTTGTCTGCAAAACGAAATCATTAGATGAAGTCGATCCAAAATATCCGTCCCCATTGACGAAGTGATACAAGGCCATAGTAGATGTCCCGTTTGTTGAGTTGAACGTCTGAGCAGATGAAGCCCTCGAGCATTTTATCGTATCAGACGTTGTTATCGTTCCAATATTTTGAATAGTCCTACTTGAAGAGATTACTGATATTGAATTTATTGATAGTGATCCGAAATCTCCAGACGTCCCTGATACAAGGGTTGTGGCATTTAACGTATCACCGCTTACATATCCGAGACCGGTTATGCCTTTAGATGCATTAAGTACTAATGCTTGTGATGCAGTAGCTGAACCAAGGGTGATGTTCAGGTAATAGTTTGAATTGAAATTGATTCCATTGAATCGGAGTGAAGGTATATTTAGTCCGACTCCTGCCATATCCAATGTCAGACTGCTTAAAGTCCCAATAGAGGTGATATTGGCCTGAGCCGCAGTTATTATTGTGCCGTTGATATTGGTCGAGGTAAGTGAATTTAGTCCCGTTATCGTTCTCGAAGCCCCTGGGAAACTGAGATTACCTGAAATCACTAACCCGGTTAATGTACCGAGAGATGTAATATTAGTTTGAGCAGCAGTCTGTAGAGTCCCTGTAATGTTGGTAGCGGTGAGCGATGTTAGAGTTCCAAGCGAAGTGATATTAGGCTGTGATGCAGTTAGCAAAGTACCTGTAATGTTGGTAGCGGTGAGCGATGTTAGAGCTCCAATCGAAGTGATATTAGGCTGTGATGCAGTTAGCAGAGTACCCGTGATATTAGTAGCAGTTAGAGAGCTAATAGTAGCAATTGAGCCGGTATCGTCAAGTACTAAGGCTCTACCGCTAACCGCCGTTCCCGGAGTAATCCCTGTGATATACGTCAAACGATAATCATTCTTACTGAAGTATAACGATTGAGCATATTGATATGTTAGATATCCATTGCTGTCTAACGTCAGATAGAATGAAGGGTTGTAGATTGGTGATATAAATATTGGCTGTGGATATGAGAATCCAGAACTCATGTTTGTTATATTTCAATCTATATACAAGCAGACGATAATCATGAGCGCTATTCCAGACTACGGGTCTTCGTTGCCGAAAAAGTTCAAAGCTGCTGGTATGGGTGATATCCCAGCGCTTGACATAAAGAAGCTCTTTCGGATGGTTGTTCTTGGTCCCTCGTTTAGCGGGAAGAACAATCTTTGCATGTTCATTCTCAAACATTCTCCTCACGTATTTGCCCACCTAACTATTATTGCTCGTAATCCACACCAGGAACTATATGACTACCTTAGAGACAAGCTTGAAGATTTCATTACCTTCACTGACCCCGATAATCCTCCCCGTGTCGATCAGGTACGTCATACACCATTGAGCTCTAATA